GCCTAAATAAAACTAATACATCATCATTACTGGAGATCAATACATTTGGCAGCAAAGTGATTTAAAAATGAAGAAAGAACTACACCGTTAGGCAAGTAAATGTTGAAAATGGCCACCATGACTCTCCATGCAATAATAAAGATTTTGCTCAAAACGTTTCCGCACGTGTTGCAATATTTGAGGAGTAATTTGAAGGCACTCATTCACAATTCTTTGTCGCAGGTTTCTAACGATGTTGGCTGAGTAGCATAGACTTTGCTTTTTAAATGACTCCACATAAAGAAATCCAAAGGTGATAAATCTGGCGATCTTGGGGGCCATTCAATGGCACCTATTCTACTAATCCATCGATCTGGAAACGTCAGATCTAAATATTGTCGAACACGTAATGCGTAATGTAGTGGGGCACCATCCTGTTGGAACATCAACCTATTCGCAATGTACCGCCGATCATTCTGATTTTCAAATATGGCGGTTAATGTAGGATCTATGGCGTCTTCCAGTAATTCCAAATACGTTTCACCGGTCAAATTTCCAGGTAAGAAAAAAGGACCAACTAAATGATCGCCAAAAGTACCAGCCCAAACATTTAATTTTTGTGGCTGCTGTGTATGAACCTCATGATAAATTCTGGGATTAGAATCGAACCAATATAGGCAGATATGACGATTTACTACGCCATTTAAGAAAAAGGAACATTCGTCGGAAAAGGAAGTGTTGAATAGAAAATGTTCATCGTCTATAATTCGTTCACTCATATCTGCACAAAATTGAAATCGCCGATCAAAATCGCCTTCATTAAGTTCTTGTACCAGGTGAATTTTATACGGATGAAAACTATGGGCCTTTAGAATCCGTTGGACAGTACGTCGACTAACACCACACACAGTCTCAAATTTGCGGGTACTTAACGTAGGATCTACATAAACTTGCCCTAAAACCCCCACTTTTATTGCTTCGTTCCTTATGGGATTTTCAATGTTGCGTTTTTTATTGGCAACTGACCCAGTTTCCCGATATTTAGCTACAAGTTCTAGAACATATTTTCGATGCACGTTACTGTTCTCATGTCGCTCATTAAATATTTCTGCTGTTCTGTTAGCGCACTGATTATTTCCGAAAAATATTTCGATAATTTCAACTCTTTCTGTTGTGGAATATACCATGGTTAATTTATGTAATAAAGCATTACAAGTTATTTTGGCAACAATGTTTGGTCAAATCAATCGCAAACTATTTACTAAATTCCTATTTAAAATAAGTACGAAATATTACCTTATTTTTCTTCAAGAAATAACTTTTTTCCACAAAAAAAAACGCTCCAATAGCTATTTTCAACGACAAAACGGTAAACAAACCATAGGCGTCGTGAAGAAAAGCATTTACTTATCAAGTAAATTCTTTAAGTCAAATGTCTTCTGAAAGTAGTACAAACTAATCTGATGTATCTATTTAAGTCTACTTTAAGCTTTAAATCAATAAATCTTCAAAACTACTGAACTGAAGCTCATGTATTTTACATCATTATAAAGGGAATTGAAAGACCTTTAAAATAGGATATCACTCGACCCCCCTTTCCATGTAAGATTTTAGCGCTGGTGTCATCCCCGCCCAGGGGGCTGCACGTGTTAACGTGATTTTTTGCCAAACTTGTGTCCCCCTCGAAAACAAAATCGACGGGTCTTAGCGTTTTTCCAAAAAAGATCTGAGCTGCCAGTAAATGCGTGTTTCGTTTTCGATGCGCCACCCTGTATATACACACCTGTACATACAAATATACATACACACAGATACATATGAATGTTGGAGGTTTTTTACTACTACATTAATTTTAAATTTCTTTCATACGTATCATGTTTGCAATCTGGTCTGGTCTTGGTTTCAATTTTGAGTTTTGTTTTATTTGAAATATATCTTATATAATGTAATATGTTATATAATCTACTGGAAAGGTAAGTATGACATCTTTGGCCTATACTTTTTGAGGTGAAAGGTGTTTGCTTAATGTTGTTAATTGTGATTCTAGTTTGATATAAGTGATCTAACGGAATAAGATTATTTTTATGGTGAAATTGATAATTTATAATTTCATAAAAAATAAATTAAAAATAAGAGGGGTTTATCATTAAAATTATTTTTGGATAATTTCTAAATTATCAATTTGGTTATTAAGTGCTCCACCCCAACCCAATAATGCGTAACTTATACGACTTTCGATCATAGCATGATATACAATTTTCATTGTTTTTTTTTATTCAAATATTTGTTTAGATTCTTGAATTTCAACAATAATGGTCTCAAATTGGTTATTACATGATCAATATATATATACGTATAGAAGTGACATATAAATCCGAACACCCAGTTTAAATGGTTTTATTTTAATAAAATTTTGTATAAGTACTTAATGAAGCATAATACGTAAATGATAAAAATTTCAAAATGATTGCACTGCTTTGAAGCCCTTTGACCTTTAGTAATGTGTGGATGCACCCTGATGTGCTACGCATTCTCCAACGCGCCTAGGCATGCTTCTGATCAGGTGGTCAATGTCCTCCTGTGGTATCTCATTCCAGGCAACCACCAACTCCTCTCGAAGTGCTTCTAGAGTCTGAGGAGGACGTTGCAAATTGAGCAATCTCCTACCCATCATATCCCACACGTGCTCAATTGGGGATAAGTCGGGAGATCTTGGGGGCCATGGTAACAATGTGACATCATTATGTTGAAAGAAGTCTATTGTGACTCTTGCAACATGTGGTCGGGCATTATCTTGTTGGAAAGTTGGATCTGCCAGGGTGTCAAGACAGGGTAAAAGATGGGGTTCTAGGACTTCGTGGATATAACGCTGCGCGTTCATGTTACCTCTGATGAAGATTAAAGGTGACCTGGAACCATAAGCTATAGCACCCCAAACCATAACTCCAACAGTGTGATGAACATGCCTTTCAACAAAAAACTGTGGATTCCTCCTTTCACCACGTCGCCTTCTAACCCTGGCACGACCATCGTGCATGCCTAAACAAAATCGAGACTCGTCACTAAAGACAATACTGTTCCATTCCTGATCCCAGAGTGACCGTTGTCTGCACCACTCAAGGCGATTACGTCAGTGTTCTCGAGTTAAAGGGAGGACCCAGTGTGGCCGGTATGAAAACAAGCCAAAACTTCTCATTCGTCGGTAAACACTTCGCATGTCAATAGGTCTTCCGTGTTCTGCAAACCATTCATTTGCAATGGACCTGGTAGTGGAGAAACGGTCCCTTAAGGCCAATAATCTTAGGCAGCGATCTTCACGGTCTGTTGTTCTACGGCGGCGTCCAGTGCCCCTTGCTCTTTGCGTACGGCCTTCTCGAAGCCATGCCTGACAACACCTAACCACAGTGTCTACACTACTTTGCACTCTTAACTGCAATTGCCCGAAAAGAAAGTCCAGCTTCCCGAAGTCCCACTATACGGCCCCTATCAATCTCACTATGTTGACGAAATCGTACAGGTCTCCATACTCTAGGCATCGTAACCGATCGTAAAGGATGTCAAGAACCAAAATCCGCCAACGTTAGGCTGAAAATTTTTCACTTGTTATTTACAGTAAGATAAATACATTCACCAACTTTTATTAAAATAAAACCATTTAAACTGGGTGTTATATAGATACAAAGGATGGTAATTTGTTTCTGTGATTTGTGAATGGCGTGAACATAGTCTTTTGATAGCTAGTAGTTAGGCATTTATGTCTGAACCAATCTGCAATTATTGTTAAGTCTCTTTCAACCTTCATTTTTAGATCATCCCACAAGTTCTTATCCGAATAAATGATAGCAGTATCGTCTGAAAAAAATATGATTGTCCCTTCAGATTTTAAGCTCAGCAGGCTATTAATGTAAAGTGTAAATAATAAGGGGCCTAACACTGTCCCTTGTGGGACACCATACGGTATCAATTTTTTTGTGCTTAAGGAATTATTTATTTGTACGCACTGTGTTCTGTTTGAAAGGTAACTTTTCATGAGGTTATAAGCCTTGCCTCTAATTCCCGAGTCGTGTAAGGTTTCTAATAGTAGCACGTGGTCTGCTGTGTCGAATGGTTTTGCTAGATCTAAAAAACACACACAGTGTATATTCACTTTGGTCTAGTAATTTGTATTATTTTGATGTCAAAAAGGAAATTGCGTCTTGGGTAGACTTGTTTTTCTGGAATCCAAATTGTTTTTCATTAATCGGATTATGTTTATCAAAAAAATTAGAAGTCATGTTTTTATCATTTTCTCAATAATTTTTGCAAAGCTGGATATTAGAGTTATAGGCCTCTAATTGTTAGTTTCTGTTTTCTCACCGGATTTGTGGATGGGTTTTACTACTCCTACTTTATAATCATCTGGAAATTCTCCCGATTCAATTATCAAGTTCGCTATGTACGTCAAGGGCTTACTGATTTCGGATGAAATTTTCTTCAACATTTATGATCGTATACCATCAAGACCTGGGTTTTTTTATATCTCAAACTGCGTATGGCATTTTTTATTTCATTTTTAGACCCAGGTTCTAAGAAAATCGATTGTTGTATACATTTTCTGGGCGGAATATTTGCGTTGGGTTTATTTATTTTCATTGCTAATTTTTTCCCTACTTCTATTAAGTAATTATTGAATGCATCAGCAATATCTTTACTCGTGTTGAGTGCTGTACTATGGACGTTTATTTCTTAAATTTTTGTTTCAGGTTTGGATGAATTACAGATTTGATTTATGGTATTCCATAGCATTTTAGAGTCAGATTTGTTGTTTTGTAGTTTTTCTGTGTAATATTTTTGTTTCGAAATGTTGATCAATTGGCAGAGTTTAGTTTTCCTTCGCTTGTCCTTGATATAATTACCATGTAGTTTCCGAATAAACCTACTATTCAGCACGAACTGTTTACGTTTGAAATCATCTAGTGGTGTTCCCTCCCTCCTCCAGCGGCCGGGCCTGTACCATTACATGCCCAGTCATTCCGTTTTCGTGCTCGTCGGCGACAACATAGTGATAACAGTTCGAATTGTGAGTGTTGTTCGGAAGGTTTCCATAAAAATGCCCAAACGACGTTTGTCTAGCCAAGACAAATATGGTGAGATTGAAAAATTAAAGAAGCAATTTCGACAAATGCAGGAGCATCTAAATAAAATTTGTGAGTCCCGTGAATCTAGTGATTCATCATCTGCAAAATGTACAAGTACATCAGGTAGGTCATACCATCGTTGACTCTTTTTACACATGTGCACATTAAGAGGTGATAACGGGAATATCGTGTGATACTTCATAAAATACATGAAATCGTGCGATTTTCATGTCACTGTTAGAAAATAAAATCAAGCGATTTATACCTAAATTCATAAAACAATATATTCTCAAATAATCTCAGGCTAACGAGCGTTACTCCTGAAAATTAAATTCGAATGATTTTAATCAATAGAAAAAATAGTTATAAGAATGGAATCGTGCGATTCTTTTTGATTAAATCAACAGGCACTAAGAGAATATAATATTGTTTTAGAATTGTCAGAGGCTGGAGCTCCAAATTTAAAAACTAGAGAGTCAGATTCTAGACAGTCCATGAAATAGAGCAATCGGAGAAGAGTTCTTATGCTCTAGGATTGAGACCGGACTCGCAGGATAATGTAGGAAATGAATTGCACGAGGAAATAGTCGTTCGTTGGGACAGCCTTTTAAAAAAAAGGTTTACCAAGGACCAACGAGAAGAGTTGATGACAAAGTTTAAAATACCTTCAAATTGTAAGGTTTTGCAACCTCATCAAATAAATAATGAAGTCGAACCATGCCTAATAAAATCTCTTCTTGAACACGATCGTTTTATGAGAGCCTTACAACAACAGTTGGCTCACGGTCTGTCAGCAGTAGGGGCTGTTATGGAGACTATGATGCCTAACAAAGAACAGGCTGATACCATGAAATCATTGGTAGAGGCCTGCCAGTTATTTACTGACGTTCACCATGGGCTTTCAGTTCACCTTAGATTTAAAGTTATACCACATTTAAATCCTGAATGTAAGAGGGTGGTAGACAACTTTGAAATAGATGATTTTTTGTTCAATACAAAATTCGCTGAAACAATGAAGAACAAACAGGCAATAAAAAAGGCCGGTACTGATTTTAAGAAGAAAACTTGGCACTCCAATTTTATAGGACCTTCAGGATCTGCGATACCAAATAATAATAAATTTAAACTACCGGCGTGCGCTACCAAAAGGAAGAATGAAAGAGAAGGGGAGGCGAGAAGAGAGGAGACCATTGGAACAACAGAGGAAGTTCAGAAGAGACCCCAAGAAGTACGATCACCAGACATAACTGCTAGAACAAAAGTCAGTAATCACGCTGGTAGACTTTCACTCTATCTACAGGGCTGGAAAAATGTCACAAGAGACCGAGCGGTCTTGGATTAGATTACAGGAGTTAAAATATCCTTTTTTAAAAGGCCTGTGCAGTTTTTTGAGCCCTCTGTAGAAATCCCAATTCAACTTTTCCAAGAACATAAAAACTCTATTCAGGAATTGTTAAGAATGGGTGCTACTGAAAAATGTAGTTATCTAAAAGGACAGTTTCTATCAGCTTACTTCTTAGTCAAGAAGCCTTGTGGTACATACAGATTTATTTTAAATTTAAAAGCACTTAATAAATTTATTATTGCTCCCCATTTCAAGTTGGAGGATTATAGGACTGTGGTGAAGCTTTTAAATGAAGGTTATTATCTCTCAAATATTGATTTGAAGGATGCATATTTTTTAATTTCAGTTAGCAAAAAGTACAGGAAATACCTACGATTTAAATTCGAAAATTACCTGTATCAGTTTAAATCTTTACCATTTGGTCTTAATATTGCACCATTTATTTTTACGAAACTTGTTAAAACGTTAGCAAGGAAACTCCGCCTTATGGGAATAATCATGGAATTTTATTTAGATGATATTCTTATAATAGGTAGAAATAAAAGTGAGTGCAAAAAACATATACAAATAATTCTTGCAGAACTGGACAAAAAAGTATGTTATCCCCGCAGCAAAAGGTCAAATTCTTGGGTCTTTATATACAATACGATTACTATGACTATCTCACTTCCTAACGAAAAATGCGAAGCTATTTGAAAGTTGAGGTTTACTTTCCAAAAGAAAAATATGTGTACATTAAGAGAATTTGCTAGGTTAATAGGTAAACTTGTAGCTTCTTGTCCTTCAACGAAATACGGTTTAATTCCTATTAAGCCCTTCGAAAAAATTAACATTTTTTCGTTACGAGGAGATTATCGTAATTATAATAAAATGATGCATATTCGAACCTCCTCACATCAAGAATTAGATTGGTGGCACACTAATATAGGATCGGGTCAAAATATGAATTCAAAAAATTTTTCCCTCGAAATTTTTTCGTATGCCTCCACAACGGGTTGGGGAGCCTTTTGTGAAGGATTCAGGTGTCATGGTCTCTGGCATAATTATGAACAACCAATGCATATAAACTTTTTAGAGATTAAGGCCGCGTATTTTGCATTAAAATCACTTGCCAAAGATAAAGAAAATATTCGTATATTATTAAGGATTGACAATCAAACTGCAATTTCTTGTATAAATAGAGGCGGAAGTGTTAAATATTCATACCTAAATGATATTACAAAGACTCTTTGGCTTTGTTAAAGTAAGGGTATCATTGTATTCGCCAGCTATATTACTTCATCTGCTAATTTTGAAGCTGATAGAGAATCAAAGTCATTATCAATAACTACAGAATACGAGCTAAATAGTATTGTATATAATCAGGTTGTACAAAGGTTTAGTAGCCCTGAAATAGATTTATTTGCAAGTAGAATTAACAAAAAATGTAAAAAAATTGTTTCATGGTTTCCAGACCCTGAGTCGTGGGCAGTAGATGCCTTTACAATGAAGTGGTCTAATTTTTTCTTTTATGCTTTTCCTCCCTTTTCAATAATTACAAAGGTGTTAGAAAAACATGTACAGGAAAAAGGCTTAGGAATTGTGCTTGTACCTTATTGGCCTACGCAGGCATGGTATCCGCTATTCAGTAAGCTACTAGTGGATGAACCTGTTTATTTTAAATCAAATAAATGTTTACTAATCTCTCCTTTCAGAGACTATCATCCTTTCTACAGGGAGATTTCCCTGGTAGCAGGGAATATATCCGGCAGTCTTATATAAAGAAAGGAGTTCCAGAGAGTGGAATAGAAGTAATCACTGCATCTTTAACAAAGGGCACGCTTAAACAATATACAGCTTGTTTCAAAAAATTATGGCAATTTTGTAACGACAATAATAGAGAGCCTTTTGTTTATAATCCAGAGACTTACTTGGATTTTTTATCCGATACCTTCAATAAATGACTTCCATTTTCAGTGCTAAATTCTTATAGGTCAGCTCTGAATTTAATTTTTAGTCCTATAAATAATAGCGATGATTAGTGATCGTTTTGTCAAGGTAGTGTCTAATATTCGACCACCACAGGCTAAATATAAAATAACTTGGGATCCTGACCCAATTTTAAATTACCTAAGTACATTATATCTCCTGGAAGCGTTGGATTTAGAATACGCAACATACAAACTTGTCACACTTAAGGCTTTAACATCAGCCAGCAGAGTTCAAACACTGTCTCTTATTAAAGTCCAAAACATTACAATACCATCAGATAAAATAGAAATTAAAATACCAGATAGGGTAAAAACATCTGCCCCAGGCAGGGACCAACCGCTACTTGTTTTTCCTTTTTTTAGAACATGAACTCTGCGTAGCCTCTGCTATTGAAGACTTCATTAAAAGAACTAAATCATTTCGTAATACTGAGGAAATCTTAATACTTACACACAAAAAACCATATCCCGCATCTCCGCAAACAATAAGTCGATGGATTAAGAAAACCTTACACTTAGGAGGTGTAGACACATCAGTTTTCTCAGCGCACAGTGTACGCCACGCTGCAACCTCTGCTGCACTTAAAGCAGGCGTAACCATAGATGTAATTAAAAATACAGCAGGTTGGACTCCTGCCTCGAATACCTTTTTTAACTTTTATAATGGGCCTGTAGAAGATCCTCAGACTGCTTTGGCCAATGCTATTGTTCAATTAGGATCTAAATAAAATTATTAGTATTCTAATTATCATTTATCCTACATATATTGTAGGTATATATGTGTATATATATATATATATATATATATATATATATATATACGAGGGATGTCTTTTAAGTTTTGCATATGGAAATAAAACAACACGGTAGGTAGTTTTAAATGACTTTATTGTTGTTCGAAGTATTCTCCATGAAGATTAATACACATCTGCATGCGCTCGAACCAATGTTCGAAGCACTTATTCCACTCGTTTGCTGGCAGATCCAAAACGGCGTTTTTGAATGCGCCAACTGCTTCTTCTGGTAACTGGAACCTTTGACAACGCAGTCTGTTTTTGATTTTCGGGAAAGTAAAGAAATCGTTAGGACTTAGATCGGGACTATATGGAGGATGGTCCAATCGTTCCACGTTTTCTTCCGTTAGATACTGCCTTATTTTTTGGGCTGTGTGGGTTGATTTTTCGAAGCTTGGTGATGACTTTTGGCAAACAAATGGTGGTATACCAATCCGCAGTAACAGTTCTTTGCTCATCAAGAGGAATTGTTGCAATATGACCCGCTTTTGACACAAATGTCGCGAACATCTTTTTCGAAACACTTCGAGACCGGATGACTTTTGTTGGCTTTTCTTCACCTTGGAACACCCAAACAGCCGACTATCGTTTATTTTCTGGTTCGTAACAGTAAATCCACTAACAATGCTGTACACATTTTTTGAGTTTCCGGAATTGGAACGGTCAAGCGTTCTTGGACACTAATTAACCCTGGCTGCTTTCTGCTCTTCAGTCAACAGGTGGGTATCCAACGAGATACTAATTTTCTTACTCCTAATTCTTCATGTAAAATTTTTTTAATTGAGGTCTTTGGGATCTTCAAGGAAGCCACAATCTCGCGATATGTTACATGCCTATCTTCAATGATGAGATTCCCCACAGCATCGACGTTTTCCTGGGTGACTGCCGTTTTTGGTGCACCCACCCTGGGATCGTCGTCCACGTTTGAATTCTGCATACCAACTGGAAATTGTCGACCGATGTGGCGCTTCATTGCCGAAGACAGTAACTCAGCAAGGCATTCTTGTTGCGATAATTGTCTCTGAAAGTTGAGATAAATTATGGCGCGAAAATGTTCTCGGTTGAGTTTAATTTTTCTAATGACTTGGTGACACTTAAAAATTCACTGAAATGAGAATACTGTACGTATTGTTGTGAAACTTTGAATTTAAGTTTACTAAAGAGTAAGGTTGAGATTCAGTACTATGTTTCTATATGCAAAACTTCAAAGACATCCCTCGTATATGTATGTGTATATGTATACATGTATATGTATATATAATGAGTTTTCTTTAAATATTAAGCTAAAATAAGTGAATCTCATTTAATTTTACGAGTGTTATAACTTAAAGGTGTAATAACCAGTAACAACAATATACCAGTTTGGTAATATTAAAAATTGCCTTTTACTTTGAACATCTACGTGGTAATTATATCAAGGACAAGCGAAGGAAAATTTAAAGATTAATCGACTTACCTGAAGGAAGGATAATCATAATTTTCCGAGCTTGTCCGAAGATATAATTATCCAACCTATATACAGGGTGACTTCGAAGTTGAGTCTTTATTTTAACAGTGAGTAGATCTGATCAAAAGAAATGTTTTTTTCCTTTACCATTTTTCTGGTAAAATTAAAGTAACAAAGTTATAGCCCTTTGGAAGTTTGAGTACCGCCCTGTCTCAATAATAATATTATGTGCTCGTGTTTGGCAACAACGGATATAATCCGCCTTATCGGTTCATCGCATCGGAAACAAAAAAGCGAAAGAATTTGGAACGATGTTTTTACAATTATTTTATTCAGTTGTATACAGTCAGTGTCAGTCGTTAACGCGTGAGTGAATAGTGGTATCTGTTACGTGGCTCAAACGAAATCAAAAATGGCACATGTTTACGAAAAAGCTGAACTTGTGGACATGATTCTTATTTACGCGGCATCACGGATTTATGCGGATCGGTTTCCCAATCGAGTGCAACCAACCCCACGAGCCCTTTGTTAATGTAGTACAAAGGGCTCGTGAATCAGGTGACTTAAGACCTCACAGGGGAGGGCATGCCGGTGCTCCAAGACCGCACGATCAAATACAGGTCCGCACTGAAGTACTTGTCGGGAGGATACTTTATAAAACAAGGTAACATTTTTTTTTTATTTTTACACACATATTTTGGTTTATCTTCCTTGTACAATCATTATCTGAAAGTTAATGACTCAACTTCAAAAGGTAGGAAATTTTTTTCAGGGACTCCAACGGAATGACTGGGCATGTAATGGTACAGGTCCGGCCGCTGGAGGGGGGAGGGAACACTAGATGTTTTCAAACGTAAACAGTTCGTGCTGATGAGTGGGTTTATTCGGAAACTACATGGTAATTATATCTTCGGACAAGCTCGAAAAATTATGATTAATCTTCCTTCAGGCAAGTCGATTAATCCTTAAATTTTATAATACAAATAATTTTGTTTTGTTCCATCTGTTGGATGTGTCCTATATAATTTATATTTCTCGTTTTCTTCATTGATAGATTTAATTAGTCCAGTAGTTACCCAGTTTTTTCTTGGACTGTCTTTACGATTTATTTTAATTTTCTTGGTATTTTTTTATATACTTTTAGTGATTGTTGTAGTCCGATATTTAGTTGCTGCGTGAACATTTCTTATATTATATAAGTTGATCCAGGTTTCGGATTTTAATCTATTATTAATTTTTCATAGTCTGTATAAGAGATGAAACTCAGTGTTGTTTCAGTTCGAAACTATAGCAGGAACTTTATTGGATGAAAACAGGATGACTACCACGCTAGTTATATTTCATATTCAGTTTATAAGAAGTAAAATATAGCAAAATGCAAACTCAGCAATGTTCTCGCAAAGATAACACCTAACGCTGTAACTAGAAACCGGATGGACGGCGCTAATCACAAGGGCATCGGGACGGTGTTAGCCGTACCGTTGAAATGGATCCGGATTCCATAACTCCCCCTCCTCGGAAAGATTGGTCTCCAATCTCAAAAAATAATTTGAACTTTTAATTTGAAGGAGAAGTTTCTTAAATATCACTACTTTGAGGTGGAGTTTTAGTATCCTTTACATAACGGTATCTAACAAAAATTGTTATAAATAAAACCAATAAAATAATTACAGTAGTAAAAATAACAGGATAACTTATAGTAGAATGAAACTGTAAATCTTCAAAATGAACTTGAAGTGAAGTGAGATTTTTTTCGAAATAAGATTCGACTGAAGTGTTTGTTTTCTTAAATTAATATTTATCCTTGTCACCTCTGAAGGATAATTCTAATTCAATTTCATAATTAGAGTCAAATTCTAATATTTGATCATTAATAAATGTATGACATTCTAAAATTATGTGAGTAGTAAATTGAATATGATGGATTCCTTTACAATCCTTGATTTTTGTTAAAACATTAGTGTCGATTACATAATTGCTCTTACTTAATTCTAGGATTCACGTGTAGTTTACTAGACTTTCAGACTCACAAGTGTCTAACTTAAGTGGTTGACATGGCGACTGGAAAGTATTCGTGCAAACAATACAGCTGATTGCTTAACTCTATAATATTTTTGCAATAATAATACTTTTCAAAGTATAAAATATAATCACTTGGTAATTTTACTGATTCTTTTTTTACTGTGATTGAAAATAACTTGAATAAGGAATAAGTTCTAACATCTAAAATAGGAAACTCAACTACAAAAATAAGTCGGTTTTCTAAAAGTATAAGTGATAAAAGGGAAAGATCATAAATCTCAAATAAATGTATTTTGTCGAATGGCAATAATTCTTCGTCTTTATAAATGGATTTTAAATGTTCAATAATTAAGGTAATCTGATGATGAGATAATTGTAAGGTGGTGAGACCTGTTTGCTGGTTCAATTGTAGAACTAATAAAAGTGAATTTAGATATGAATTAAATCGTTGCAAATTTGTAATAATTGAGATCTGATGGATCGTCTGGTGTGATAACAAAGACTGATGTTCAATAGTTTGGACATTATGAGTAATAATTGACTGAATTCTTCTTGTATTATTTTCAAAAGTTTCTTGAAGAGATTTGCAAAACGTGATAGTTTTCTGATGACTTTCAAGCAAGCTATTCTGGTTATTTCGTAAAGCGTTCTGATTTTTCAAAATAAGATCTAAATCGTTTTGATCAAGATTGCCAGAAATAAAACGAATTATAGAACCTAAACCGTTTATAAGTCCGCGTTTGATTTTATGGTGTGTTAAAGTTTCGAACTTGGAATAAGTATCTTCGTATAAATTTTGAAACTGATTATCTAAGCTGGTGGGAATTTTATTATGTAATTCAATTAGGTAAGAAAACATTTGCATGGTATGTGAAATATCAGTGAAGTTAATGGAGAAATAGACTTTGTGATAGTGATGAATATTTCTTGCATTACCTAAACGTATCTGTTGTATGGGTTGCAAATAATGTTCCGAGGCTATGTGGACAGCTATGGTGATCGTCACACATCTGAAACAATGCGAGGTAGTTTAATCTTTTTAATCACATGTTTCCGATCTTTTATGTGAATTTGGGTTCCATTTTGCTTGTAAGTTTCGTGCTTTTGATATTTGGGTAAATTCTTTGGACGTCTAGTAGCGTCATGGGGGGTCATGTAAATAGGGCCTTTTAATACAGGGATTTTGGAAGGTTTGGAGCTCTCGTTGCGCTTAACAGTTGTATGCAAAGTCTTATTGTAAATTTTGTCAGCTAATTCTTTTCGTCTTTCGGATTGTTGTTTTTGAAATTCTTCATAAGTCTGAAGAGGTTCACGGTGACCATTTAACAAGTCGAAAGGGGTCAATTTTGTTTGGGAATGAATAGATTGATTATAGATCAATATAGAATCTAAAATAATGTCGTTTACTGGGTCAGTGGGACGTTCTAATCTTAAGGATCTGAATTTTTCGCCTAAGGTGGAGTGAAAACGTTCAATGGGAGAAATGCTAGTGGGATTTGCAGTGCTTCCGATGTGAAGTTCAACATTATGATTTTGGCAATATTCTTTAATGATATTGGAGCGTAATTCGCCAGGGTCGGCATGAATAACTTTAGGACATCCATGATGGGAAAGGTAATGTTTCATTTTATTAAGGACATCAACATGATTTTTTGAAGGTAAGTAATAGGCCTGAGCATATTTGGAAAAGTGATCAAAGAAGGTTAGGTATTTAGTTTTTTCGACAGTGAAAACATCAATGAATACAAGTTGAAATGGAGCAATACTGAAAAATGGGCCTTGAATTGGCTGAGTAATAGGATGTCTTTCGTATTTATTTCGAATGCAGGTTTCGCATTTATTAATAATATTTTGAATAATCTTTTTACTCTTGGGAGTGTAAATGAGTTTTCGGAAATGCTGGTATGTTTCATTTATACCATTATGACTTTGAGAATGATAAAGAGAAACTTTGTCGACGTAATCGTTTTTAGAAATGTATTCACGCTTTGAATGCGGCTTTCTCGAATTTAATCTGGGCTGTAGAAAAAATATTCTTTTGAATTCGACTAAGTAGGGACAAGAAGAATGGTTCCTGATACCAGATTCCATATCGGAATGTGGGTTTACATTTGGATTTAATACAATCGATGATAAAGGATTCTTGATTGGGATCAGTGATATTAACTTCGAATCGTTCTTCGTCAAGATATCTGCAACTATTACGGAAACCTAAGATAAATTCTATTCGCTTAGGATAAGCGTAGAAGTTTTTGTCTTCTGAAATAAAAATTGTATTGGGATGAGACTCAGGTGAGTAATGTTGTGTGTCTGTGGAACGAGCATCAATTTCCATAGGATTTTCGGACGTGTTGGGAGCGAGAGAATCGGAATTATGATTAATTTCAATGCGACTTAAGGCGTCAGCGACATGATTTTCTTTTCCTTTTTTGTAGTTTATTTTGTAATTATATTCTTCTAATTTTAAACGCCAGCGAGCTAATCTTTGATAAGGCACTTTGAGATTGGATAACCAAACAAGTGGTTTATGGTCTGTTTCAATGGTAAATGCATTACCAAAAAGATAGGGTCTGAAGTGTTTGCAAGAGTCGACAATGGATAGAAGTTCTTTTTCAATTGTGGAATAATTTCGTTCTGCAGAATTCAATGTTCTAGAATGATAAGCGATAGGTTTTCCGTCTTGAGATAGGACAGAACCAAGGGCAATATGTGAAGCATCAGTTGTGACCGTAAAAGGTTTAGAAAAATCTAGATAACTAAGAACTGGGGGATTACAAAGTACTTTTTCATAGAATGAAATGCAGAAATGTATTCATTTGAATCAACGGGAATCTTTTCTCCTTTCTTTAGACATTTTGTCAAAGGTTTGGTGAGAGAAGCAAAGCCTCTAATGAATTTTCTATAGTAATTCGCTAAACCGAGAAATGACTGAATTTGTTTAAGAGTTCTTGGAAGAGGAAATTGTTTAATAGCCTTAATCTAATCTGGATTGGGTTTAATACCATCTGAAGTAATAATGTGGCCTAGGAAAGGGATCTCTTTTCGTAGAAATTCAGTTTTGTCTGATTGGATTTTTAAATTATGGGAAATAAGTTGCTGAAAAATGTGTTTTAAATGAACTATATGATCTTGTAAGGACTTTGAGAAAATAAAAAATAAAAACGTCAAGATACACAAAACAAATTTTTCCAATAAAAGGTGTTTGCTTTTTGTTTGAGGTTTTGGGGTTTAATACACGATTTTGTTCACAAGCTTTGTATTTTTCCCAGAGCACGTACATAAACGTCGGCGGTTAGATATGCGAATGCTGAATACTCAACTTAGATTGTTGCCACGTCTAAAAACTACAAAGTAAAACAAGTCGGCCACAACATACCCCCGACCTTGAAAGCCCTAGTCTTTCAAACTTAAATATATCAAAACATGACATAAGTAACTTAAGTATTTCAATATGACAGAGTGCTAACCTAAATACATAGATCGTACAATCCATATATGGTTTTACAATTCAGTTGATTGGTAACACACATAGTTTGCTAAAGGCTCGCTTAAAGAGTCCTTTTGGGGTTCGCACGGTCGCGACCCGTGCCACGTCATCCAGTCCCGGATGCACTTGTTCAACTCTCCCCAACGACCACTGTGAGGGAGGGTTATGATCTTTTACAAGCACTAGATCACCCGCACGAAGCACTTCAAGGTTTTTGTGCCACTTTGATCGCACTTGCAACTCCGAAATATATTCGAGAGACCATCTAGTCCAAAAGTGCTGTTTCAATTGTTGAAGCCTCTGGTAGTAAGACAGACGATTCTCTGGTATGGGCTTCAAGTCGCGTTCGGGTAATGAGGTAAGTGGTCTGCCGATCAAAAAATGGGAGGGAGTCAAGGCGGTGAGGTCACTAGTATCACTGGAAATGGGAGAAAGGGGACGAGAATTGAGGATGGCCTCGATTTCCGTTAAAACTGTATACAATCCTTCAAATGTCAAACAAGCATCACCTAAAGTTCTTTTTAAATGAGTTTTACATGACTTAATTCCAGCTTCCCAGATTCCACCAAAGTGCTAATGGAGCTAATGCCGGGATGAAATGCCACGACACATTATCATTTTCGATCGACTCGCACAAATAATTTTGATTTTGTTTCAGATAAAGGCCCCAACTCTCTAAGTTCGTTGCGCGCACCCACAAAATTTGTCCCATTATCCGAGTAAACATTTACTGCTTTGCCTCGCCTAGCAGTGAACCTTCTGAAGGCTGCTAAAAATGCTTCCGTAGTCAATTCAGTGACTAGCTCTATATGTACAGCCTTTGTACATAAACAAACAAAAAGACATATGTAACACTTAGATTTTTTTGCTCCACGGCCCTTACGATCTTTAATTAAGAAAGGTCCTCCTTAATCCACACCTACACTGGAGAAAGGAGGGGCAGGTACCACGCGTTCACGTGGGAGAATTCCCATAATAGGAGATTGCTGCACTGGGGAGTTCCTGAAGCACTTTAAACATGTACGAACAGTTTTTCGAGCTAAATTTCTCCCCCCAATTGGCCAAAAGCTTTCTCGAAGCGATGCCAGCAAAAGCTGAGGGCCTGCATGAAGAAGACTACCATGTCGTTCTGAGAAAAGTAATTTTGTAAATATATGAGAACTACACAAAAGCGCAGGATGTTTTTTCTCATAGAGTGCTCCAGAAAGTTGGAGTCTACCCCCGACCCTAAGGATATTGTCAGAACCAAGGAAGGGATTAAGTTTTCGTAACTTACCACCTTTGCATTCCCCATTTTTCTTTAAATTGCGCAGTTCCTCGTGAAAGGATTGTTCCTGAGACAGTTTGAGCAAGCAAGTCTTGGCCCTGTTCAATTCCTCGACCGTTAAATAAGTATTGTAAACACGAGCTTCTCGGCACTTATTTATAAAGCGCAAACACCAAGCGCACACTCTGATCATCTTGGAAAAACTTGAAAATCTATGAAAAGGAAACCATTCAATAATTTCTACTTTGAATACTTGTGCTTGTTTTCTGAGTTCAGGCACCTTTATAACAGGTTTAAAAACTGATTTAGGCCATAGGCATTTGCTAAGGCCCAACCACTTCGGACCTCACCACCACAGTTCACAAGGTTCAATTAGCTCGGGGCTAAGTCCCCTAGATGGGAGATCCGCAGGATTATCTTTGGTACTGATATGGTTCCACTGATTGATTTGGGTCAAACCTTGAATTTGGGATACACGATTACCCACAAAAGTTTGCAATATATTTGGGGGTGTATGGATCCATGTTAAACACACAGACGAATCAGACCAAAGCACAATTTCATCAATTTTCACGGTTAATGAAGTTTTAACCTTCTGTACCAAATTAGCTACCAGTAAGGCCGCACACAATTCTAATCTGGGCACTGTAATTGTTTTAAGGGGTGCTACTTTGGTTTTAGAACACATCACTCTCACATACACCTTTCCATTAGCATCTTCACTTCGCACATACACACATGCACCATAAGCCTCTAATGATGCATCAGCAAACCCATAGATTTCCACCCTGACTGGGTTATCACACAAAACGTGACGAGTAATTTTCACATAATTCACCTGCTGAAGCTGCTCTCGAAATCGTTTCCAACTTGTATCTAAGTCTGCAGGTAAGGATTCATCCCACTGGTTTTTGCACAGCCATAATCTTTGCATCATAATTTTGGCTAGAATCACACACGGCCCAAGCAACCCTAAAGGGTCAAAGATTTGGGCTATTTCAGATAAAATTGTGCGTTTAGTCACTTTCTTAGAAAATTCAGTGTTGATATTGAACATCAAGCAATCTTCTTGGCATGCCCAATATAATCCAAGTGTTTCTGTCCGTTGGGTTTCACCAAAGGTCATAGAATTTGGCCCAGTTGAATTGCTGAAGTGTTGTAGGACTTCTATTTTATTTGAAGCCCACTTTTGGAGTATAAAACACGCTGAGCTCAGTATTTCTTGCACTTGGGTACACAGTTCTATAGCGTCCTCAACCGTATTTGCTCCTGTTAGCATATCATCCATGTAAAACTCATAGTTTATCATTTTGGATGCTTGCGGCGAAGAGGTTTCACTCTCAAATGCGAGTTGCTTCAAGCATCTGATGGCCTGGAATGGAGCTGAGGATGTTCCGTAGGTCACAGTTTGCAGCTCATAGGTGCGGAGCTGTTCTGAGGGATCATTTCTCCACAAGATTCGCTGGAACCTGCGTTGACTAGATTCAATTAATATTTGCCGATACATTTTCACAATGTCCGCTCCGATTACCACTGAATGCTGCCTAAATCTAAGCAATATGGCAACAAGATCTTCTTGTAATACAGTACCGTTATGTTGTATGCCATTCAAAGAAACTCCATTATCTGATTCACTCGAACCATCGAACACCACTTGTAGCTTAGTTGTGGGACTATTTTCGTTCGTCACTGCGTGATGATGGAAGTAATAAGCGTTTTTCTCATTACTTGTATTCTGCACCAGCTGCATATACCCCAAATTACAGTATTCCTGGAGAAAGTCGGTGTATTTTTGCTTAAGGGCAGGATTTTTGGATAGTGTACGTTCCAACGATAGGAAACGCCTTTCTGCTACACCCAGAGAGTCCCCCAGGACCTCATCAAGGTTTTTTTTGAAGGGCATTTACACAATGAATCTTCCATCATCATTCCTGGAAGTTGTGGCTTTGAAGATTTCTTCACATTGCTTGTCCTCTTCAGACCAGACTGGGTCTTGTGTATGAGTTTCTTCGATTTCCCAAAATTTGGCAATTTGATTATGTATATCTGATATTTCTCCACCTGTAAAGTTACATTGATAAGCTGAGCTTACCCTGTTACACACCACGTCTCCTCCAACAACCCATCCCAATTTTGTTTTTTGAAGAATGGGCAGATTTGCACCTAAACGAATTTGCCCTATGCACAGTAGGTTCAAATATACTGCACTGCCAATGAGGAGATCAATCTCAGCCGATTCTGCAAATTTGGGATCTGCTAATCGAATATTCTATTCACTTGATTGGCAGGACACACACTACTTATTTTTGGGATCACTAAGCACTGTAATTGTAACTCATAATCACTATGACACGACTTTAGTCTCACACTACAGCGATATTTAAGATGAGATACATTTTGTCCAACGCCTAACAGTGCGGAAGGTAAGTTTAACCTTTGAATGCCCAATTTTTCACAACACTCACTAGTAATCAAATTACTTTGGCTGCCACTGTCCAACAAAGCACGACACACTACAGGCACCCCCCTGTTATTAAGAATTTCTACCAACGCTGTTTGCAACAGAACCGTTGAACTTGTCTCACATTTTGAGTCAGATAGTGTCATTGAAGCAGTTGGGCCCTGCGTTTCAGGTGTATTGTTATTGGTTTGCGCTGTTTCACTCTGAATAGCCTGTGTGGATTCACCCTTATGATAGTGCAACAATGTGTTATGTTTCTTTTTACACTTTCTACAATCACTACTACGGCATACATTTACATTGTATCCCCCTCTTAGACAATTGAAACACAAATTTAGGCGTTTTATATGACTCTGTTTAGCCTCTGAGGATAATTTAGTAAACTCACTACAGTGTTGAATGAAATGGTCTTCTTTGCAAAAGACACAAGCCTGATTTGTTATTGCATATGATTGATTCACATGTTTATGTTTATTTTCACGAAACTCACCTTTCTGTTTCTGCTCTTTTAATTCAATTGTTTCCAACAAATCAGCCTTTTGTGACAAAAACTGTAAAAAATCATTCAAAGTTGGCATGCTCCAACTTTCACTGGCACCACTACCTACACTTTGTTCGTCCGTGTTATTGTTATATGAACCTTTAACCTTTTTCTCCTCCCACTCAATGGCCGTTTTTTTATCCAATTTTTGGGCAAACATATATAAGCAGCACATCCCATGATTCAGTGGGAAGACTGAGCGAACTTAGGGATTGTAGGGGAGACTGAGGAGGGTTGAAACATAGGTAAGTTAAAACAACAGAATTTTTGTGGAAACCAAAGACGTTATGGAGCTGGCAACAACGCTTATTTGCCTCTGCTGCCACCTGCACACAAGTGAAGGTTTCGTTACCGCTCTCTAGTCCACGCTTACATCGTTATCAAATGTGATGTGAAAAATTTAACAAAAGTAAGTTTTTGTCATATTTTAACTTTATCAATATTTTGATTTATATACTGTTTTATTACAATGTGTTGTATGTTTTCTGGAAGCTTAATCATTCAAGATTCAGTCTGTAGCAATGTTTTTGTAACACTGTATTGCGCAACGAGGTAACACCGGCTCAACCATAATGGCGGCAGATTTTGGTACTCCAGGAGAGTTGAAACAGCCTGTTTCAACTTACCTCGTTTGCGTTCAATTTTGCAATTGACTTTTTATATACGTTTTTGAATTTTATTAGTATGCCTGAAGTCTGTCTTATGCTCTTTTTGTTTTAGGATGCCGAACGAATACAAGCGAAAGACAAATCGGGGTATGGCAAGCAAAAACATTACGAACTGGCTTCTGAAGAAGTGATGCTACGTAATAAATCTCTTCGTGATCCTGCCACAAGTTATGATATAAACCATACGTCGCTTTACAGATACATTAAGAAAAAACAAGCGTATGAGAGCAATAAGACCATTCAACCACCCTCAATTGGATATCATCGCCCCACAGTGTTTACCAAAGAGGAAGAAAAATCATTGTGTGAATACGTTTTGACCTGCTCTGATGCCAATTTTGGGTTGAGTATAAAACAAGCAAGAAAACTTGCCTATCAGCTTGCTGTGGCATATGACAAAAAGTGCTTTCTTCTTGGATGCAAACCAAAATGGCTGGTGAAGTTTGGCTCAGATTGTTCATGAAACGCCACGAAGTTTTGTCTTTGAGACTTCCACAAGCGTCAAGTATTGCTCGAGCGACCAGTTTCAATAGAACCAACGTGTAACTATTTTTTTAAAATTATTGTTCGATACTTGACAAATATCATATGGAAGCAAAAGACATCTGGAATGTTGATGAAACAGGCATAACTACTGTCCAAAAGCCTGATGGTGTTATTGCACGACGAGGTCAAAAGCAAGTCAGCGCCATGACGTCTGCAGAAAGAGGCAGTTTAGTCACTCTAGCATTAGCTGGCAATGCTATAGGTAATTGCATTCCACCAATGTTCATATTTCACCGTAACCGTTTTAACGACCACTTTATTCGTGATGGTCCAAGTGGGTCCATTGGAACAGCCAATGGTTCTGGATGGATGCAAGAAGATGATTTTTATTGCTTTATAGAGCACTTCAAGAATCACGTCCGATCTTCCAAAGAAAATCCGGTTTTGTTATTACTAGATAATCATGCTTCGCATACCGCTGTCAAAAACATCAACTTTTGCAAGGAAAATGGAATCATTCTGTTGACGTTTCCACCACATTGCACGCACAAACTTCAGCCTATGGACCGAGCTATCTTTGGCCCTGTAAAAAAAGCAATCAATACAACATGCGATAACTGGATGCGTTCACACCCAGGAAAAGTGATGACAATATATGACATTCCAGGAATTGTCAAAACTGCCTTTGATATAGCAGTCACCATAAAAAATGTAACTGCAGGATTCCGGACGACCGGGATATGGCCATTGAACACTGAAATATTTCGTGAAGAGGAGTTTTTGCCCAGTCAGGTGACCGATCGAGCACTGCCACCAACAGTACTTGTACACGAAGATTCCGTTGTTCAAACTGATCATCCTGAAGTTTCAAGGACCAGCAGAGAAGCCGAACGAGCTCCAAGCCCACCGATCAATAATTCACTCTATTATAATCCCACTGTTTCTAATACTAATGCAAATGCAGAAGTATCATGCACTCCCACAGTTTTGTCTTCAAATCAAGACGATGCTCCTACGCCTGATTCACTTTATCCTGTGCCATCAACTTCGAAGGTATCTATTACGTCGGCAGCCATTAGTGAGGTTTCTTCAACTTCAAATACATCTACTGTAACTACTGCAGTCAGTGTATTTTATCCGGAAGCAATAAGACCTCTACCGAAGGCAGAGGCTAGGAAGAATACGCAAAAACGGAGAAAGATAAAGTCAGCTATATTAACTGACACTCCTGTAAAAAATGAGCTAGAAGCCATTCAAGCTAGGAGAAACACCAAAAAAGTAAAAAGACCTGCGTTAAACCTAGAAAATAAAACTAAGAAATCCGTTAGCAAAACAAGGAGGAATTGTAAGAATAAAGGAAAAATAAGTGAGAAAGAAAGTAGTGACAGTGACGATGATGACTGCTTCTGCGTAGTTTGTATGGAGCCGTTTTCCCAAAGTGTCCCAAAGGAAGAATGGATTCAGTGTATAGAATGCAAGTCATGGGCTCATTTGGCCTGTACAAAAGGCGACTTGTTCTACGTGTGCCATAATTGCTTCTCTGAATAGGATTTTCTTTGTTCTTTGTCGCGCTTATTATTCTTTTTTATTTTATTTTATATTTTATGTTGTTTTTTATTTTAAGATCTCAATGTTGTCATCACTGACAAATAAGGTACATTTTAGTTCAGTAACTTCAATATATTACTAATTCATAAGCTGCTTTCTTAAAAAAAGAAACCTTCCAAATACTTGTGTTCCAACTCTCCTAGGTCAGCGTTTCAATTTACCTCAGCAAGAGGAGAATTGCAACAAAATTAATGGTCGACTTATAATCGATTTTTTTGAAAATGAAGTAGACCGTGACGTATTTTATTTTGATTATTCATTAGCCAAGTAAGCAAGGTTTCATATGGTATATTAAACTTTGTAGGCTACCACTTATTTACGAAGTTATGTGCCATTATGTGAAAATTGTTTCAACTCTCCTCGGTCTCCCCTGGGTGTTTGAGAATGTTGTCAACCATTTTCCGCAGTTCTCCTGCTGACTCATTTGTTATACAGTTTAAGGTAAATAGCGCTTTCAAATGGTTCTGTATCAGCACTGCCTTATTATCATAGCGACTGAGTAGTGTTTTCCATGCCAGTAGATAGTTTTCACCGCAAAAATCAATACTACGTATCACTTGGGCAGCTCCTCCCTCCAGTGCAGAACGCAAATAATGGAATTTATTTATATTTGGAATATTATCCTTTGTATGGATTAACGACACAAAAATATCTTTGAATTCCATCCAATGCCTGTATTCTCCAGTAAATTTGGGCAAACTAATAGGTGGTAGTTTGATTTCGTATGAACTAGTATTTTGAGCAACCCTACTAACACTAATTTGTGACTCAGCTTCACTACCAGGCGAAACTGGACGCGACTCTTCCTTTCTAGCATAGTGCTCATCTATTAGTTTTTTGCATTCCGCAATTAGCTTATAATAGATCATCTCATATTCTTCTCTACACACTAAATGATCCCCGGTTAAATCTTCATCACACTCTAATTCAATTATATTTTGAACTTCATCAAACTCACTAAATAATTTTGTCAAGTTTTCAAGGCTGCTTTGAATTTCCAAAATGATTTCATTGGGTATGGACTGATCACTAAATTCAGACTTTATTGCTTCAAAACGTTTTTTAAACAATGTTTGCTTACACTTTATATTACCACGTTTTTTTATCAAATTTGCTAATTCAGAATTTTCCCATTGTTGGAGACTCATTTTTGTATCAAAAGTGCCACCTCAATTTCTCAAGGAACAGAAATAGGGAATAAAAAGGTTAGGACTCACAGGATATATTCCGTTTTCTTGAAATTCCTTCCTCCTGGTTACGTGTGACAACGTCGCTTCCGTCTCACCACAGCCTCACGCTGTGCGTTACCGCTTCGCCGCGTCGTCGCTTCACCTCACCGTGCGCCAGACAAGGATAGCTTCTAGTTTCAGGCGCCTTTCACGTGCTCTTGAGGTGCGCCGGCCGCTGCTTCTTCGAATTCTTCTTTTTTTTTCTTTTCTTCTTGGATGAAATGTTGAAAGGGTTGACTTACAGCCTTTCTCGATTGATAGCTCCTAGATGTACTTATCCCACTGCTTCATAGGCCTGGTTTCAGGGTTTTCACAATGGATACACACTGCACCCGCCAACGTTGGAATAATTCGCTTTTCGATCGGTTTTCACTGTGTACTTGTTGGTATACCGATCTGCACTACAAATCCGGATATCGAAGGACCATATGTTTGGTTTTTGTTTGAGGTTTTGGGGTTTAATACACGATTTTGTTCACAAGCTTTGTATTTTTCCCAGAGCCCAGAGCACGTACATAAACGTCGGAGGTTAGATATGCGAATGCTGAATACTCAACTTACATTGTTGCCACGTCTAAAAACTACAAAGTAAAACAAGTCGGCCACAACAAAAGGTAAGAGGACAGTTAGTATTCATCATTCTTTGAAATGTGGCAGGGGCGTTTTTTAGACCAAAAGGCATACGAACATATTCGTAGTGGCCGTTTTCAACTTTAAAGGCTGTCTTTTCAACAGAACGTGGATCCATGGGGATCTGATGAAATCGTTGTGCTAAGTCATGGGTCGAAAAGTATTTTGCTTTTCCAGGATTTTCTAGAATTTCTTCTGTTCGGGGGAGAGGATATTTATCTTCAATAGTGACGTCGTTTAATTTTCGGAAATCAATGATCATGCGGTATTTTTTAATACCAGAAGCATCTAACTTTTTAGGAACAATCCATACGGGAGAAGAGTAGGGTGAAGTACTTGGGCGAATGACTTCATCATCAAGAAGTTTAGTGACTTGTTTTTGAATTTCTTGTTTCAGGAAATAGGGATAACTAAAAGATTTAACGAAAATAGTATCATCATTGGATGTTCGAATAAAATGCTTAGTGGCAGTGCAGGGTTTTAATTTTTCGTTGGGCTTTAAGAAAGCTTGAGGGAAGTTTTTACAGAGATTTAAAATGTGAAGTATTTCTTCGGAATTCATGTGTTCTGTACGAATAAGATCAGACATGTTCGGAGATTTGGGCAAGGGATTAGGAGTCGAAATTTCATAATCGGAAATTGATTCGAATTGAATGTTATGACTTTCAATTAATTTGAGATTTTCAGGAAATAGAATCTTTTTATCTATGACAGGGCAAATATAACTAGAAGTGTAATTTTCTGAATTCGAGTATTTGACAGGGGGGATAAATACAGAATCTTCATTTGTGTCTATAGGAATGGTGTCGAAAATCTGATTGGGAATTTTGATTGGTTCCTTATGAGTATGACATAGAATTTCAAAAATTTTCGATGGAAAGTAAATTATGGGAAATGTAAAAATTACTATGGAATTTCTGTAGGTCATAGTAACCTAAAAGACAATCATATTTTTGATGCCATGGGAGTAACAAGAATTCAACTTCTGTTGGAATACCTATATCATCAAAGATAGGGATCTTACAAGCGTGATTACCAATTTAGGTTTCAATTGCCGTTTTGATAGAAAAACATTTTGGATAAGTATAATCCGGAAATTTGTCATAGGCAATTTGGGGATTCATAAGAGATGCAGAAGCACCTGTATCTATAAGAATAAGTAAATCCAAAGCTTCATTGTAGAGATATGGGAGATGAATAGTTTCATAAGAGTTTAAATCAATGTCTATTCTGGGGATTGTTGATGAGGAGTTGATTGAAAATGTTCTTGAGAATAATCGTTTTCATAATATTGAAATTGATCTTCTACGAGATTTTCTGGACAACAAGCTTCAGAATAATAAGATTCGAAGGGGTTTGCTACATTTTCTGTAGAGCTTTCATTAGTGGGTTCGGATTCGTTATTAGTAAGTTCTTGAACAGCTATGCTAGGGCGTTGACCGTAATTCATGAAGTTTGTTACAAATTTCTGAATGTAAAACGCTATAGTCTGGGGAATGAATATAAAAAACTTGACGGGTCAAATTTTCTTCAGTTTGGTAATTTTTAAATCTAGTGGTTAAAATAGCAGAAAGATGTTCAATAGTAATAGGATTAGTTTGTTCTGTAAATTCGGCAGGACACCTTGTAATCTAGACTTAATAAATGTTAAAGCATGTCCTTTATAGGAAATAGGTAAAGCGTTATAAAATTCTGTAGACTTTCTTAAAAATGTAGAAAGATTGTTTGAATAGCCATCAAATATAGGAATTGAATCTTTTAGCATGTTAAAAATTAATTGAGGATTGTCATGCTGAACGACATTCTGTTGATTTGAAGTAGCCATTCTTATAGGAGATCTTTCTCTTTCGGTAGGCACAAAACGATTAACAAAAGGCATTAAAATAAAATGTATAAAAGATGCAAGATAAAAATGAGTAAAAATAGGTGAAAACAAAACTTAAAGCTATGCACAAAATTAGATTTCAATTGAAAAACGCAAACTTGGATTCTTCAAAAAAAATCTTCTCTGTAGAAATGAGTTTTTTAATAAATTCTTCTTATGGTTACGTATTAAATCTTCTTAGTTGCAAAATCTTCTTAATAGTAATTCTTAATTACTTACAAGGACAGTAACATCAATTGTTGCTTCATCCAGGGGCTGGTCATCTTGTCTTCGATTCCAAATCAATGGTTCTGGACAGTTTCCGGTAGAATTCCCAGTAAGAGAATAGAAATTCTTACTTGATATTGGCACTCGGAGGGTCCAAGTAGAACAGGAGGGCCTTCCCGACGTCTGATACTAACTCTTGGCTTTCGCTGGTACTAACTTCAGTTTTCTCAGGAACTCACTCTTTGGCTTTCTCGGAGACACCGCTGGGCAGCTCGTCTATTAGATATTTCTTACAATGGTGACAAAAACCAAGCCTGGGATCCTGTTCGCAGCGCCAGAAATGAAACTCAGTGTGGTTTCGGTTCGAAACTATATATTGGATGAAAACAGGATGACAACCATGCTAGTTACATTTCATATTCAGTTTATAAGAAGTAAAATATAGCAAAATGCAAAGTCAGGAATGTTCTAACAAAGATAACACCTAACGCTGTAACTAGAAACCGGATGGACGGCGCTAATCACAAGGGCATCGGGACGGTGTTAGCTGTACCGTTGAAATGGTAATCATCAGGTTTCCATAACTTATATTATTTATATTTCGCTTTATTAGGGTTAGTATGTACAAAATCTTCAAGGTTGAGGGGTACAATTGATACTGTACTATAGTGATCAGTAATATCTGATTTTATTACGAAAGCTTCACAATTATGATTTTCTTGTTTACTTCTTAAAAAAATGTGGTCAATACAAGTACATGAGGCGCCAAGCACTCTAGTCGAAATATTCACTATTGAGGTGAAGTTTAGTATAGATAACATGTTAAGATATTCATGAACAAGCAAATTATTACTACCTAAGGTGTTTATGTTGAAGTCTCCATTTAAAAGAAGTCTGTGTTTATAACATGACTATTTAAATAATATTTGAGATCTACTAAGAATTGTTTTATATCAGTTGAGGGTGGTCTGTAGAAAGGTGTTATTGAG